AAGGCGCCCCCGGCGGCCGGCCAGGCGGCGAGCACGTGGAAGCGGCGGGGCTGGAGCTTTGCTCCCTTGCAGCTGTGCCCTGCTGCCCTGGGAGCCCCCCACAGCGGGGGCAGCCGCCCGGGACCCGCGTCCCCGAGCTCTTCCCCGGGAGCGTCAGCCTGGCTCAGCCGGGGTTGTGGCTCGCGATCTGGGGAAACGAGTCCATCCTGCTTCTGCCGCCTGTCTGAGTCTGCCCAGCTGGCTTCAGAGGACTGGCTTGGACCGCTTTATTTATTTATTTTTAAAGCTTCTTTAGAGGAGCAAAAGCTGAGGGGGGGAGGCAAAGGGCCACCGGAGAAGAGGTCCATGCCTTCTTGTGTGTGATGGGTGGTGCTTTGGAGTCCTTTGAAGACTTAGGGTCCTGTCTTCCAGCAGAAGCAGTGTGCTGCGTTGGCCTCAGTACTGATTTTTGTTGCCTCCTTTTGTTCCCCACCCAGTGTGCTGATCGTAGCTGTAAGTGCGCTGCTCTCTTTCTCTAGCTGGACCGTTGACTGTCGCCTCAACTAAAACGGCGTTCTTTCCGAAGCGTTAGCCTCTTTGCTCGCATGCTGTCACCCAGAGGTAGCCTTTTGAGCTAGTTAATGAAAGGGGCAGGAAATTCAAGAGAGATGAGAGCAGCTGGGGCTTTGTTTGTGCTGACACTTCTGATCTTCCTTCCTTGTTGGTGGTGAGGATTTCTGAGGATGATGGTCTTAATTGGACCAGCTACATAGCTGGGATCAAGGTAGTCAAGCTCTTGAGTGTAGGACACCCTTTGTGGACTATTACAGCTATTGCATCACTCATACGCCATCGTTGCCAGTGTAACTCCTGCGATGGTAGCAGTGCACAGACCGCTTGTGAACACTAAACTGTTGATGTGCATGTAGGACACAGAGAGACAGTGATGAAATCTCCCTCCAGTACCAGTACTTTTAGGAGATTGAGAAATATGCCATAATTAGGTAGGGGATTGAGAAACATGCCATTATGCACTGAAATGGAGCAATATGCATTTGACAATCATTATATGTCCTTTGTATTCAAGAGAGAGTTCTGCCAAATATTAATGGAAAGAAATATACATTCCTAAAGAAGAGTCCACTTGACTTATTTGCAAGGAGATTCAAGAATGATTTAAATTGTAATCTTGGTAAAAAAAGTGCTCGGATAATTACCATGCTCTTCTGTTTTCCAAATCTTATTGCCAGGGACTTTACAGGCTGTGCTGGCCCTTTAACAAGTGGTGTTATTCTTTTAATAAGCGTTTTTTTGTGAAAGATATTTCATGGCAAGTTGAACTCGTAAACAAGGGCCACAGCCCTGCAGTCCTTCTCACTGTTAAGCAAGGTTGTTGCGTATCAGATCAGTCCAGTCTGGATAGGCAGGATGCTCTAGCAGGGCTAAAGGGACTGAGGACCACTGTGTTAATGCACTGATTTCTAAACTGGAACTGCACCTTTCATATTTGGGTATGCTCTTGTGCTTTGTCCTTTCACACAGTGACCATGCTTTCTCTCTCTCTCTCTGGGTTTTTTTGTCTATTCTGTTCGGGGGTTTTTTCCTTGTTAATTGTTTTGCACGTGTTCTCCTTTGTTTTAGCATATCTTTTCTGCTCCCAGCTGCTGTCAGGGAATTAATTCAGCTAACTTTTCATGTGGGTCACCTAAACAGATGGGTGATAGAAACTCTCCAGGTGTCTCATTTACTCTCTTTACAAACTACCCTGAAAAAAGAGTAAGATGCAGCTTCAGCACAAATAGTCTAGAGCAGGACTTTGCCTGTAATGTTACAGCACATATTGTTTCTGGTGTGAGGATCCAAAGCAGAGTGAAATTTATAAATGCTTGGTAAAGAAGTAAAAATGTAATATTGATAGTAGAGTTGGAAGGTGGTTACTGATGCGGAGTAAGGACCAAATAAATCCCAGTTTGACTGGGTAATCAAAGAAAAGGATCCTTCTAAAGGATAAAGGGGAGTAGAAAGCAATTAATCTATAGATTATATGCTTTCTACTCCCCTTTATCCTTTAGAAGGAATAAATCCCAGTTTGACTGGGTAATCAAAGAAAAGGATCCTTCTAAAGGATAAAGGGGAGTAGAAAGCAATTAATCTATAGATTGTTTTTCTGCTGACAAATTCTATCTAGTCATCACCTCTACCAAAACTGGTTTGGTACAAAAAACCAAAAAAGCCAAACAGCTGTGTTTTTCAAACCTGTCACCCTGCCCTTAGGAGTAAACTGAATATTAAAAATCTACAACCTGGGTAAGTAAATCTTTTAATGTGTCAAAATTTGAAAGAGAGAAGTCATCCACTACGGGTAGAAAATGCGTGCAGAAAATAATTTCTGAATAAGGCTGAGTAACTTTGTGAAAAAAATGACAACTTTAATTTGCCTCTTCCCCCTTTTAGGAAACTTTTGATGATGCATCGCCAGGAAAACAGAAAGAAATTCAAGAATTGGATCCCACATATGAAGAGAAAATGGTATGTAACTTTGGATATGTATACAGTATGATACTGGTGGCCAGTACTGATGCAGTTACTTAAAATGAAAAAAAAAATGTTACTGATCTGCACTTTGAGGCCCTTTCACTTGGTTCCTGGCACTTTGACCAGGTATTTCTGGGAGAAAATTAGATTACCAGGTTGTTTCCCTGTCACATTTTGTACTTCATCCTTTGCCAGTTCTTTTTCTTGGCAGTGTCATATGTGGGTAGAAATCCTAGAAGCTTCTACAATATTTAGTAAAGTGAAAGGTAGTTTTAGGATTTCTGGGATTTCATGTATATGGGAAGAGTCAAGTTCTGAGCACACAGAATTTGTTCTAATGTTGAAAGTGCAGTAGTAGTGAAAAATCCAACTCTAGCTAGGAGGAGGTATTTAATATGTTACCTTCTACCTGATTCAGAAACTGTGCCAAGGTCTCCAGGGAAAAGGTTTCTAGGGGATTAGAGACCCCTGAGAGTAAGAAAATAGATACGCATCCTCTAAATTAGAAAGTTCCAACTGACTTAATGTAGAGTTTATTAGTATAGTATCTTAAATTAAAAGCCCATAAAATTATTGGGATCTTTTTGGTATGTGGGATAAACTGAAGTCGGATAACCACATCCTTCATTTTTCTGAGTGAAGAAAAGTTTGCTTGTCCTGTATTTGAAGTACCAAAGCAGTCATTTTACATGTTAAATGCAGATTACTTTTATTGGGAGGAAAGATGGGGAGAAGCTGTTTGATAAAGGCTCTACATATGTAGGTGGTTAAAGTCCTTTGTACTTGCCTTGTTCTCCTGAAGTGGCATGATTTCAGAGGACTAAATACAAAACCAGGAGGCAGGAAAGTGAGTTTAGCAATTTAACCCCAAGGCTTGCAAAATGTACCAGACACCAAAAGGTAATAGAAATGATGTGAGTTCTAGCAGCAACTCAAACGGGAAGCCTTGTTCTTCTTTCTTGTCTGCATAAGCTGTAGAAGGATTGTTATTAGTTTAGTGAATAACGTTTAGTCATGCTCTGGCTATGAGGTATCATAGATTCATAGATGTTAGGGTCGGAAGAGACCTCAATAGATCATTGAGTCCGACCCCCTGCGTAGGCAGGAAAGAGTGCTGGGTTCAGATGACCCTAGCCAGATGCCTATCTAACCTCCTTGTGAAGCCCCCCAGGGTAGGG